CATGCCATCAGCATTTCAGGCAGTTTATATCATTTCCATTCTTTGAAAGCTCACCAAATGTGTGTTTTTGGCTGTACTATAATTTAACTTTACTTCACTTTACTTTATTTACTTATATTCGTCATACGTTGACTTAACTTTATATCGTTGCTTCCTTCTTTTCATTTCACAATCACGACATGTTCATGCAAGATATCGGTCGCTAAGCTGAGACTAGTCAATTGTTCTTTAGGGCGGCAACACAATTGATTTGCATCTCAAGCTGCTATGTATTTTATGAGGCTGTATAGCAATTCTTCTCCATTGAGTTATATTTTTAACATCAATAGTGTACCTCTCGCGAACGTAATGTTTTTCTGTGTGCCCCCACGAGCACCCATTTTGTTTTAGCTCACCCTTTTGCCTATGCTTGAACCCAAAAAATTGCTTCCCCCATTTTTGGTAATTCCCAACATCTGTACACTACGGTCGTTCCAGCCTCCGCTGCCAAATTTAGTAATTCCTCATCAGGGAAACGCGACTGTGCACGCCACTTTTCCTAGTTGCTAAGTCTGTACCGGCCTCATAAGGAAAGAACATCCAAAGGATCCCGCAAATTCTGGCGTGATTCTCACGCTCATCACACGGGCTCACTAAGATATGTTTCCACTTGTTGACCCTTCACACTCGTATTTGAAACAAAAAAGTGTACAAAATAACGCAAAAAAAAAAAGATAAGAAAATATAATGTTCCTTTTTCCGCTTTGTTTCCATCCCTTTTGTGTATTTTCCAAGTGACAAACCTTCCAACGCTTTAGCGACCAATCATCTTTTCCCCCACTAGGATCATCTAAAACACACCTGCTGATATGGTAAAAAAATGCCAAAATGGTTCCCTCCAAAAGAAATGCCATGCGACTGAAAAAAATGCTTCATTTTACCCACCCCAAAGGGAAACAGAACACCATCATATGCATTTTTTGAAAACGCTACTACACAAATTATGTCGAAATTTTTTTCTTTTTCTTTACGCCTCCCCGTAACAAGGTCAACTCGAATAACTCCCTTTAATTATCGAATAGAGGAGGAATCACATGGCATTGATGAATTCTCATTTCTTGCGCTTTGTTGACTACGTGACCAAATAAGAAATTAGCATTCCTCAGCCTTTCCATCAAAATGGACTTCGCCGAACGGCAAAAATTGCCCCACCGGTAAACTTACAACGCACAAAAAGCTGACACTATAAGAAAAAGCCCCATAGCAGTTTTACCTTACGAGCGCTCTTTTTTTTTTTTTTACGGCGCAAAGAAAACCTCACCTCAACTCAGGATAAAAAAAAATTTAGAAAAAATTGCTAGTCGTCTAAAAAATTCCAACTGCGTTATCCCCAAATGCACCATTCGAAATGAAATTAACTTACACAAAAAATTTCGACCCATGTGAGGAGAAGGGAAAAGGTGTTTTCACTTGAATGCGTTTCGTTTCTACCCGGAGGTATGGGCATCTGGCGCACCCATGAGCCCACTGTTAGGTAGCCACCTGCAGGACAATTAACCAACCGTTTTGTCTCCTCGCTCGCTACAAGGACACATTCACAACTGTGAACATTACTCCACAGGAGAAAACTCCTTTTCGTTCCTCGAGCATGCGTTCGCGTGATCCTCCTCCCCAACTCACTGTACCGAACGGTACAACGTACCTATGTAAATGCCCCTATGAACGACTCACCTAAGCTCCACTGAGGACGGAATGAACTTACGCCAAGAGCCTCTCCATCAGGCACTCTTAGATCATTACCTCCTTCACTGCGCAACTCCCCCATTGGAAGAGACCCCAAAAAAGGGGGGTAGGGTAGACGCTTTTTCTGGACCCCATTTCTGCAGCAAAGTGCTTACACGTGTATAATGTCCACCTCGCACAACATATGTTGACCCCAGTTCGCCATCAAACTGGGGCTTATTTTCCCAGCAGGACAAAATAAAAAAGATCCAACAGGCATAGGCAAAATATATGCCTTCACAATATGAGGGAAGTAGATCTGCTCGCATAGAAGTTGCCATCGTCAAACCTATACTCCCATTCGTTCATCCCCCCAAAAGGGGACCTCCACCGAATAGCGAACCCACTCCTGTGAATAAACTCCCACAGAGAAAAGTACGCCCCCTCCAGAGGGTCTTCTCACTAAGGGGGAAACATTTTCCACGTGAATCATTCATAAAAGTGGACCCCTCCCCCCGCTTTTTTTTTTCTTTTTTTTTTTTTCCTTCCCCTGTCTCTTTTCAAACCCACCGCTTCTGTATCTACTCTAGTTTCTTAGTTACGCATGTACATGTAAATTTGCACATGTGTACACTCGAATACACCCAGATTGTTTCCACAAAAGGGCGCATGGCCGAAAAATATATGCTCGTGTGCAGATGTATATACACGCACAAATGAAACTCTTTTGCGCGGAGATGCAATAAAGATTGGCCATATGGAGGCGGTCTCTTGCCTCGTAAAAGCGCAGCCCAGTCTTAACGTAGCGCGCGGGCGACGAGTTTCTACCCCACATGCCAGTTTGAAACGACTGGGTTGCGCTGGCATCTGCATATTGTGTAAACATGGGAGAAATTGGGGCATCCTCGGACATTGTATAAACTTGGGACATATTGGGGCATCTTGGGACTATTGGGGCATCTTGGGACACCTTCACGTGCCCACTCCGAGCCGCCCGCAGGTGTACTCTACTCCTTTTCAGTCCGTAGAGGCGGAACCCCCTTCGCTGTCCCCCTTGCTGCATATTTTGTCCTTCACCTCCGCGGCTGCAGGGATTACAAAGTCCCAGGGCTTAAATATAACGTTCGAGCAGCTTCCGTCACCGATGGCACAGCCCCCGAGCAAGTATGCGTTATCCCTGTTCCCTAAGGCTATTCCAACTATCACCAGTTTGACGTTCCTCTCTCTGTAATCTTCCACCACGTCAGGGATGAGGCTCTTATTCGCTCCATAGTCAAATCCGTAATAAAACAGGACTACAACCTTCGGTGCATCCTTCCTGGTACCCTCCCCAAAAATGACATGCTCCAAGGTGTGCTCCAATGCGTATACATACAGTGTGTCAGGACTAGTCGCTACGTCATCTATGGCTCGAACTCTCTCAATCAACTTTTCCTTATCTTGACTAATCTCATCAGTGAATGGGACTATAACGCGTGGGTCTCGCGCGAATAACACTATGGACATGTGTGCCTTGTCCTTACTCACTCGGGCATTCCTAACCATGGATTCTAAAAAGGGAATCGTTCCTTTCTTCCAGTAATCCTTCTGAACAAAGGTGGACTCCTCAACAACTAAAGCTATGTCATAGTAGTTATCGCAATAATTTCCTGGGTTCGATCCCTCATCAGCGCATGATCCTGGGGGGGATTGCGAACCTATGCTGCTGCTACAAAACCCTCCATCGTCAATTTCTAAGTCTCCTTTAATGACATATTCAGTGACGCACGTTATAACTTTTTTGTCGGAGTCTTCTTCGCCGCCAATTTTGGGAACAGAATTGTGCGACAAGAGGTTTATTTTTCCGGACACAGTACTGTGACCAAGGGCCAACAAGAGCATCAAGCAGGACCCGGCATGTGCACCTTTCATTTTGTCTTCTTATTTATTATTACTTTATTGTTATTTTATTATTTTTTTTTTTTTTCCACCTTTGATTATTTCTCCACTTCCTTTGTGTTGCCCTCTTACGGGGGAAAATTCCGACTCCCCTAATCGGAAAAGTGGGCGACCAAAACGTGGCAGCACAGTGAGGGTCAACTTGGGCAGGGTTGGGTCGAAACGCGCGCCAAGCTGAACAAATTAAGTAAACGAAAAAACGAAACAAAAAATGGAAACAGAAAAACGAAATGAAGAAACAAAATGCAAAAAAATGAAGCAATTGGAAAAGACTCGTACAAAGTGGCACTCGCCGGATAGACAATGTTGCAACAAAAACGGATAGGAAACGCGAAAAAATTGAAGCAGATATAACATTGGAATAATTGACAAAATGCACGGAACAAAAGAGTTAAATTGAAAACAAAAATAAACTTTAAAATAAAAAAACTTCTATAATTTAATTAATATTCATATTCTCCTTTTTTACCACGCCTCAACGAATTGATAGCCATTTGTGTTCTTCCAACAGACCTACAACGTCTTTTTTTCTTTTTTTTTTTTTTTTGAAATTTTAAAATGTGCATATGGCTTGTCTAGGAATAAAAATTGGCCTCACAAAACAGCTCGACGAGCAAGCTACCTTTTTTCATTACATATAATTACAGTTGTAATTGTAATTTCAATTGTAATTCTTTTCTTTTTTTTTTTTTTTTTCTCAATTGGCTACTTCAAAATGGCTAGCTACACCGCTGAGTTACAACTTATCTCCACCGTAAACGCATTTTGTACGTCTTATCAAAATGGCTGGAAGGAGAATTTCTCCACCTTTTCTTCGAAAAAAGAGCCTTCGCAATTCAGTTTAGGTTCTACAAAACATAAGCGAACTTTTTCAATCGAAAAATAGACGTACATTTCCGATCCTTTCCTCCCAATTCCGTAAGTGTTAACAGTTTAAATTCCATCTGCTCATTCGCTGACAAGGGGAGAACAAATTTTGTGCTGCCCAGCGCAGACGGCTATGTTACAAAAAAAAGACAAACATGCCAATTTCGAATTTAGGACGCATCCTCAGTTATGCAATTCTCATCAATCGTTTTTATGCAAATTTGGGGAATGCAATAAAATCTATAAAAAAGGTCCCCAAACGGGGGAAAGTATATCAGGACACGCTAAAAAAAAAAAAAATGCCAAGGATGATCAACGGAGAGGATCCATCGCGCATAATCAGATAAGTGTCCCTCTTAACACGAACAAAAAAAGATGGCATAAACTTCTTGCAAATGGCGTTTACTCTTCACTTCTTTTTTTTTCACCCCTTTTTGTAAACACACACATGGGGGGGAAGACGTCTTCACCTTTTTTTTTTTTTCTTAACACCCTCAGTTTTTTGAATAAAACTCGAGGAGCAATTCTAGGTACTCCTCGCATGAAGGTCTCTCCTCTGGGTCTATGCAGAAACTCCTCTCCAACAGTTTGTGCAATTTGGGGTGGAGGCAGTTAGGCACGTTTGGCTTCTGCTTGTTGACCAAAATTTCTACGACAACGTCTGAGAAGGGGAGAGGAGGGAGCGCGCATGCATTCACGTTAATTTTACGAGTCGGGGAAGCAGAAATATTCACGTTGAGCAATGCATCGAAGCATGTAGTTTACGTCCATGCCTTGTCCATTCGCTCACGCCACTCTCCTGATGTCACCTCCCTCCCGCTTACCTTCCTTATGCTTTATGTGCTGAAACGGAATTTGGTTGGCGAAAATCTCAATCAGGCAACACGCCAGGCCCCAGATGTCTGACTTCTCATTTATGGAATTCTCTGCAAGGGGGGGGGGGGGAAGAAGACAACGGGTGAGTATCAAAGTAAGCACCGCAAATAATAGCAAAACGAAGGAAACAAATTACGATTGGAAAATCAATGAGTGGACATATCTTTGCTCATTAAATTGGAAGGCAATCCCACGAAGGGAAGAAGCCAAGAGGGGGGGAAATCGCTCATAGATTCCTTCTCACAAATCGTCGCGAGGGGAACAAAGCGAAGTGGTTGTTATGTACCACAGCATGGTAAGAGGAGAGATGCCACTCGCACACACGGACATGCACAATTCCCTCATCAGTGTTACCTTCCATGAAACACTCCGGGGCCATGTATCTGGGGGAGCCTCCGTTGTCCTCTAGGATAATTTTCCCGTCTGCGTTTAACTTCCTGGTTTTTCCGAAATCGCATATTTTTAGGTTGTACTGCAGGGGTGGAGAAGCGCGGCATCGGGTAACACGACACAGCATGAAATGGAGAAGTACACTGCGGGAGAAGCCATCCACCATGAGTGACCAACGATGAGTGACCGACGCGCGAATCTGCAATGGGAAGCACTCTTGTCGCTCTTCCCCGCTCCCCTCTGTTTATGTAGTCTTCCTCCGGCTTACCTGCTCATCGAAAAGAAAGTTACTCGTTTTCAAATCCCGGTGGACGAACCGCTTAACCGAGTGAAGATAATTAACCACTTCCACGAGCTGGACAGCCATTTGCAGGCGAACCTCATAAGGCACAATCAGCGTGCTATTGTACAACATGTCGAAGACCGTCCCTCTGGGGAAATACTCTAGGACGATCCCTATGAAGGCTTCGTCTATGCAGACTCCTGCGAGGGGTACAAATGGGAAAAGCATAAAGCTACGTTGAACCCGCTTGTCACAACTATGCAGTCAAACAGCCACTAAGCCGCTAAACTGCTAAAGTGCTAAACAGCGAAAACGAACACTCTCGCGCGCTTCTCTTACCGTAATACTCCACAATGTTCTCGTGTGAAACGGAACGGTATGTGTTCACTTCGCGCACGATGGAGCGCATGCCCTCCAGGGACATGTTGATATGAGACTTCTTCACGGCAACGATTTTGTTCTGCCACAGGGCTTTGTAGACGGTACCGAAACTTCCCTCGCTGATCATTTCAATTATTTCGAAGCTCTTCCGTTCGATTATTTCGTTAGCGGGGAGATCGAAGTTGAAGAACCTTCTGTCCCCCTTAAAAAATATTTTCACCGCGTCTTCTTCTGATGCGATGCATTTCGCGGGGGGGGGTTCCACTGGGGGGACTATCCCCTCGTCAGGCTGTACATCATCCACTTTTGCATCTTCCACTACGGTGAAACCTTCCGCAGGTTCCACGTGGTCCACTCCCTCCACTACGGTAACACCTTCCGCAGGTTCCATGTGGTCCACGCCTTCCACATTTTCCACTAACTTTCCACCTTCCGCTGCAACCCCCCCCTGCTGGAATCCGTCCAAGGTCATAATTTCCCTCTCCATGTTCTTCACTACGCAATTGTAGAGACTGTCTTGCACTTCGCTACTTAAGTACGAGGGATTATCGCAAGGGAGACTACGCCTGGTGCCTTCGCTTTTGTAAGGCCTCTTCCCCGGACACTGCTGCCCATACTCAGTAGTGAGGCTATTATGTTGAGAAGTGACATAGTCCACGAAGCTAGAGCTATGGGCAATTTTGGACAGACTACTCTGTACGCTGTTTTCATAACAAAAGGTGTAGTTTATCGAGTCCTTTTTATCTCCAGACGTATAATCATCCAACCTGTAATTCGAAATGGAAACATATTCTTCCCTCTTTCGTTCATCCCACGACGAGGCGTTTCTTATTTTGGGATCTGCTACCTCCTTCTCAATCGAATTGGAAGTCCTTTTCTTGCCACTAACAGGGGATTCCTCTGAAATCGCCTGGGTGGATTCCCTTTTCATTTCTGGATCCTTTGCCCTATCAGACACGTTCCACTTCACAGGATTAACAACTTGACATTTGGGAGACGTCCCCAATGGGCTTTTCCTTGTATGAGCAATGATTTTCTCCTCATGGGTGCTCTTCGAATTAGTGCTAACATCTCCAGATGTGCACCTCCCCTTCTTTAGTACCTCGTTAGCAGACACAAGGCCGCTCCTTTCCCCCTGTCTTCCATCCAGCTTAGTCGTCTCATCAAACCGATTCTCACCTTTCACGTCAACTAACTTATCATTTCCAAAAAAAATTTCATGCTCTAATAAGAACATTTTACTGTCCTCCTTCAGAATGTTACTTTGACTGTAAAGCAGGTCGATCCTTTCTCCCTCCACCTCCATGGCACTGCCCATGGAGAGATAACCTTCATTGCTGTTTTGACGCCAGTTGTTTTCCTCAACACTGCACTGGTGGAATGATGTGTTCGTTGAGACACTTCCGTAGGAATACCACCTATGCTCTTTGAAAGAGGTCCCTTTGTGGAAACTGACTTTCTTTTCACAGTGGACACTACTACTAGGAGGAGTGTCATTCTCTGTTGGGGGGATGCCCCCATTTTTTTGTTTATCTTTGTCCAAGATCCACTCGGAATTCTCTCCTACTTTGCTAACTCTGCTGCTTATTCCCCTCCGGCTTATTCCACTCGGGGGGAGGTTCTTACAGGTCTTCTGCTTTCTCTTCATACTGGACGGATCACTGGCAATGATCACGTCTTCTTTTATCTGCGTTAGCGTACTCTCCATGGTCGGACTGTTCCTGTATTACCCTTTTTCCTTTCCCCTCGGAAGATATATTTTTTCTGATCGTTACTCTTCTCACCTCCCTCCACATGCGTGTCTTCCCTTTTTGTGAAGCTGCTCCCCCTGTGTGTGTGACCTCTTTTATGAAATGCGGTGGAAAAAAGAGTGGTAGCCAGTTTGGTCCACCAAGATTATTCCTCCACGTTTCCACCACTCGACACAGTCGTGCCTTATCTTTGCAACGGATACTCCGTCTTCGACTCTGGTACTATTTTTGTTCCCTCTTGAAGGTTTCTTTTTTTTTTCTCTCTCTTTTCGCCACTGCAGCGGTGGAGAGCTTCCTATCTGCAGTCCTTAAACCAACGCGGTAAGTACACCTCCTGGAAGACGCACACTGAGGGGTCTTCTCTCCTTCCCTCCCCCCTTTGGCCGTCCCCAAATGGAGCACTTCACACAGTACAGATGTGACGAGTGGTCTTATATATGCGACTGACAAATCAACTGCACAGGAAAAGCGCCGTTAGATAGAAGAGAGTTAACTCCAAGTAAAATATAAGTCTCTCCAAATGTAGCATTAAATTTTGAAAAAAAATGACGAGCATTTCGAAGCACTGGTATCTAGAGAAACCACAACAAGTTGTTTGAAGCAGGTGTTCGGGTCTTTGTTAGGCCAGAATTATGCAGGGTAGTACCAATTGAGGACGCATGCAGGTAGCACACTTGCGCAAAAGAAAAGAAGGAGACATTGTAGTGAAGTCACAGGAAATATTAACCAGTGCAAGCTAAGCAATGTTTTTTTTTTCTTTTCACTTGTTCAGGACACGAAGTGATTCGAAGTGGATACTCTCGATGCACAGGGAAAAGGGGTAAGTTAATATATTCAGGAGAAACAAAATGGAAAGTATGTCAAAGAAGAGAAAGTAAACGACAAGGATTAGGGTGATGCACTTAAGAGGAATGGCAAAAAAAAAAAAGCTAGTTACAGCCACCCGCATGGAAGAATGAAGTGTAGATAGTTGGTATGGCGAGTAGGTGCCGACTAAAAAAGGAAACAGAATTGGTCAACATATCGAATTCACCGACTTGACCCTGTTGGCGGAGTTGCCTGAGTTGACTAGGGGGGGCAGAGCAATCACCACGCAGAAACAGATGCAACGATTCGCGCAAGTGAAACAGAAAAAATACACCCATGCATGCATGCACAGAACGAGTGCACGGACCACCGTTCGTGTTGAGCAAAGCGGAACACGCCAAAGGAGAGTACACATAGGAAGATGCAACCGGAGGTTCAGGGTTCAACCGCCTCATCTACATTAGCACACAATTATCTGAAATGACAAAAAAAATGATTCGGTAGAACAAGAAGAAAATTTTCTTCTCATGTGCGACTTATTCGCCATTTCGCTTTCTCTTTCGCGGTTTTTTTTTTCCCCTTGTGTGGTTTTTTTTTTTCTTTTTTTTTTTTTTTTCGGACTGCCTACTAGGTGTAGAATTACTGGAATTTCTGGAATTTGTACAATTTGTAAAATTTCTATTTTTTTTTTTTTTTTCTCTCCCAAATAAGTCGGTTCTTGCATCTACTCCATTACACGTTTCAAAGAGAAAAAAGTTAAAGAGAAAAAGGTTGAGGTGAAAAGAGTTAATTAAAATTTTGACAAATGCTAAGTGCCATAAATGCAACGAATAAATCTTGCGCGGGAGGCCCGCAAAAGATACCGCTTCGGTGGGTGGGTAACAAAAAATGAGAAGAGGGCAAATTGAGAAAAAAAAGGCAACAAGGCAATAACCAAGCGAAGCGCGCAATAAAGCAACACACAACGAAACCACACGAGGCAAAGAGGCACATTACGAACTCAACGACGGTAACACGCAACAAGGCGAAATAACGTGCAACGTTTGAGGGGCGAAAATCACCCAAACAATGTTCACCCCAAGGAATGGGGATAAATGTAGGGAGGGGAAACTCCCCTGCGCATCCTCGCCATACGGACGAAGCCGTCTCGACCTTACCACCATTTTTTAGCTGACCTCCGTGCATGCGGGTTCATGTTCGACCAATTGTTCCTACAATGATGGAAGCTCCCCCTGGGGAAATTTTTTTTCTCTTTTTATTTTTTTTTTTTGCCCTTCAAATTAGATGAGGGATGCGCCCATGCGGTGTACTTCTTCGGAGCGCTTCTTCTTGACGGAAAAAAAAAGTGTACCAACAGTTTTTTTTCCCCCGATTTGTTACTCCTATTAGGAGTACGGACCTCAGCAATCGTCTGGGCATTCCGAGCATGGCACTAGACACTAATGGATAAGCGATGCTGCCCTCCCTTCTTCGAATAAGCTCTCGCGGAGTACATTCCAGCACATGTCGCTACACTCCCCAATGAACAGAAACACACACTAAGACTATCCAACTGCAGCACCAATCGTGTCCGCCTCTCAATCGAGGCGACCGCTGAACCCGGCTAATCGCCCAAGTCGACTGTCTTGACCATATACTCGGGGTCGTAAAAGAGTTTGTTGAACCGCTCATCCTGCAACAGCTCCTGGGCGTCCACGATAGCCTTCTGTTTTTTGTCCACTTTCTTGTTCACCCTGGTGAGTAGCTTATCCACGTACTCTCTATTCACCAGAACGCTCTTGTCGGGGATTCGCATCTGCTGTTTCTTCTCCAGCCTCTTCTGCACAATGGCCTTTTTCACTTGGTTCAAATTATCCGCCTCAAGGACACTCTTAATATCTGTGTACATTTTGGACGGCATGTAATACCCGTGCAGATAGGAAATCAAGTTGGGCGTCCCCCTCAGGTGGCTGATATTCATCCTTTCTACTTGCTCGCTCGAGACAAAAACATAATCGTCAAAGAGATCATTCGAGTTGTCATATTGCGTATCAGCGTCGTTCCTGTTGTTATCATATTTTTCCCTTTCTTCTAACTCCTCCGTGATGTTATCCAGAAAGTTACACCACTTGGGGGCGATTCCAATGTAGGGAATGAAGTAAAGGGAGACATTGGTACTGTCACAGGGAATGAAACATAGTCCCGAGTTTTTATAAAAGGCAAACGAATTGATACTTATCGTATCGTTTCCAAGTAGCTTAAACGCGTTTGTTTTTTTTGCCCCACCTTTACTCTTTCCACTTTCGCTCTCCCTATTTATAACATGGAAAGACAACAAATTGGAGTCGTGTTCGCTATATATCTTGATGCAGTTCGCGTCTGCAGAGGCGACGTACTCGTTTGACCCACTCCCACCTGGCACGGGGGGGGCGCAATTGCCACGATGCAGGAAGCGATCATTAGTAGACGTTCCACCGTCAAACGGATGGCTAAACCCACCACCAAACTCACCGCCTCCTCCACCCCTCCTGCTGATGCTCACAAACTCGATCTTCTTAATGGCCAAATCGTTGCAGTGGTCCTTCACGAGGAGCGGCCTGCTGTGACGAATGTCGTACATCTTCACGATGCCTTTTTCCGTCCCGACGCCCAACTTCAACCCGCTCTCTGAAAAACACCCAGCAGTCAATTCCTCCCCCTCATGAATGTCCAAACAGGAAATACTTTTCTTTACGCGCTCATCCCAAAGTTCCAAAAATCCACTCGACCCACCTGTAGCCATAACAGGCAGCTGCACATTTCGGCATAAGAAATTGTTGTGTTCATTTCTGCTCATCAGGGAGTTTTCAAACGCACCCTTTTGTAAATTCAAAATGTAAATTTCATCAAAAGAGGAACAGATATATAAATTAGAATTTTCTTTATTGTAGAGTAAGTTTCTCCCCTCCTTTGGAATCCTCATTTTGTAGTACTTTCCTGCTGCATTGTGGAATTCTAGGTTCCTGTTTTTGCATAAAAAGGCAAGCTTCTCATAGTTACTAGTTAGGAACTCAAAATTTATAACCTCTTCGTCGAAATGTCTCCTATGCTTTATAGACATTTCTTTCGTGTCATACAACCCCACTTGAGGGGGATACATGCCACTGATACAGATGTACCTGCCGTCATCGCTTATCTTTACTTGTTCACTTTTCTGGGAGAATTCTAGATCGTGCAGGATTTCCACCGAGTTTTCGCTCTTCCCAATCGATGCATTCTTTTTTCTCTTTCCACTCGCTTTCCCCACGCCACCGATGCCACCACTCTCGGGACTCACCCTTCCCGATGTTAACGAGTATATCTTAATCCCGTTGTTAATGAACGATTTGATCATCTTCTTATCTTTTGGGACGCTCACATCGGAAGAAAAATAGGAAAATAAAAAAATAAAAAAAATAAAAATTACAACTTGTTACCCAGATGCCATCATAAAAGAAGAAAAAAAAAAAACAAAAAAAAAGAGGAAAAAAAGAAATGCTCTGCTTTAATCCCGCTGCATAGCTGCAAGTTCAGATCAAGCAATTTTCTCCCCACCGTTGCGTCGTTACTTTTTT